CCCCCTTTCGATTTTGCTGGTTTTATTTAAATTGCTATGTACTGTGGCGCCTTCAATAATTAAAAACTTGACAAGCCGACCAAGTTTTTGTTTTGCCCCCCCTCCTCCCTTCCCCCAAAAAACCCTGAAATGACGCCCCTGATGTGCATAGTCTACAGTAGCTGATGTATCATTTTCATCTTGCGGAACTGCTATCAGGGGTTTCTTTCAGTTATATCTCCGGGGGGCAGGGCCTACGGGGTTTCATCAATTTTCATTAAAAAAAAAAATCCCATGTAAGTGGATCCATACACCAAATCAAGTTCAATTATTTTTGTTGTTGTAAAAGAAATACAAATGTACAAATAAGTTCTAGCAGAGAAATGGGTATGTTTAACACGCAGATGGACTGGTCCATCTCTGAATCTCTGTTTGTCACAGATTTCATCGTTAAACAACACAATAATCCTTTGTAAATTTAATATCGAGCAGTAGTGGGACTGAAAATGTGATGGCATGTATTGTCATGAACAACGAGCCTATGTGCCAAGTTTCAGCTCGATGGGTTGACAGGAAGTCGGTCAGTTACCCTCAGAAGATTTTTTCAGCTAGCCACCCACTTAAAAATGGTTGATTATTTGCTGATGTATCGGTTGACCCTAGCTTGGATTCTTATAAATGGCTATACATGTTTTATATAATTTTCATACTCCAATTAAAAAAACCGTTTATATAGATTTTCAAAAAAAAGTATACGAATAAGTATAGTGTATACTCGGAACATAATGACATTAGAGCACACGATTACGTCATATTAGTTCAATGAACTTGTTTTGTTGTTCAAATCTAATGAAATAAATAAAGATAATAACACACATTTGAAACCAGTTTTGAGAACATCACAACCACCACCCCCACCCCCACCCCCTCTTTTCCTTTTTTTTCCACGTACACATTTTAATTTGTTCTTTTTATACTTTCAAATTAATATACTTTCTCTTGGTTGCTTGATGGCGCGTCGAGCTGATGAAAATGTTTTAGCTACTACGTCTGTAGAGCTCGGAGAGAAAAGACGGCGACACACCGGCTGAAGAGCACAACGCCTCCTAAACATGGAATTGAAACTCATATAGATCAAGAACCCTGCGGCGGCATTGATGGTTTGGAACAGTTCTCGGATGCCGTCGACAGTGTTGTAAATGGTTTGATAGCGGTGTCCCAGGGAGAACCCGGGTACGCTGAGTTCTGCAAGGTTGGTGGCCACCTTCGGTAGGTTACACACGGTGTAGAAGGATGCTATGATTAGCATTTGTCGGACAGCTTGTAGCCCTTTGCAAGCAAGCTTGACCGGTATGTCGTCGTCGGCACTGCTGAACTGAGCTGTGCTACTACTGACTAAAGTCTGGTCTGTTCTGTCGAAATTACCTCTATACCTGTCTGATGGCGATAGATTGGTACCAGAACCAGTGTTCCGCCGCGGAATCCTCATACTGGAACCACTGTTTTGTTGCTTAATTTGAATATTTACAGTCGTTCCATGCCTTTCGCGAAATTTTGATGACCTCCGAAGAGAACTCGCCATAATGACCACGCAGATGCTGACAAGTACTTGAGAGACGAACGGTAACATAGCGTCTCTCAGGGCAAATATGACATCCTTGATGAATTTTCTCCTAGGAGAGAACCAGAGGGTGGGTCTCGTGCTGTTGAGATTTGGGTCCAGTTGAGGAGTTATACCCAGGTAAGCCAACAGTAAAATAACAGATAGGGCTGAAAGAGACGAAAACAGTGACAAGATGGCGACCGTTGCGTTCCACGACAACAGGTTCCTAAAGTGCAAGGGTTTGACCACGCCCAGACAGCGTACAATCGTGATGAACGTGGTGATGAGCATCGTGATGGCGTAGGAACCCGCTCCGGTGTTCGTGAAGACAATGTAGACAGCTTCCGGTTCAACCGGGAACCAAAGTCTGTAACCGGTCAGCTCCTCAACAGACTTGAGGATCAAAGCGGCGGAGTTGACGAGAACGGACACGAGGAACAGCAGATCGGACATGGCGAGCCACGCCAGCGACAAGTTGACGGCGTCGGAGCAGCCCATGCGCAAGAACGTGTGGATCGTGATGATGTTCCCGGCTCCGCCAAGAGCAGACAACAGGACGCGGGCAAGGCAGATCACCCATGGCTCGTACGGGTCGTTGTCTCCCATGGTTTGTCACGGGTTCACCTGTCCCGTACAATGGCGCTCTTAAAAAAAAGAAAGAAGTTTAACGTATGGGCAGTCGCTGGTAGTACAGTCCAAAATCTTTAAAGTCTTGTTATACCATAACGTTGCTTGATCGCAATCGGTTCAAATTCTATATATCATGTTAGGCGATTAAAATAGTGCAAATCAACATTTCGTCACACAGATTTAAATTTGTAGTGTTTTTAAAAAACATGCAGCGGTCTTAGAACAAATTGTAATATGACGCATCACGTAATCGTGTATCTGCTTATATATATTATATATATATTGTTATTGAAATTGACTTAAAGAATGGCGTCTGATATCAAACTTACCAGGATTATTAAAGAAAAAAAATGAGAATCCATCATTTCTGACTCAGCTTTGCAGCTGTGTTAATCAGAAAAAGGAATTATAACATATATATACATAAAACATATTATTTATATGGCGTTCGCTGTTACCGTGTAGAATGGCAAATAGCAGCTTTTCAATGAGCACACTTCAGCGTTCCCATTCTTAGACAGATGTATTTGAGAAGAACTTATTTATGTTGGAAGAAAATGAAATTGAATATAAATGATAAAATCACTATAAATTATCCTCCAAGAAAAAATTCAGGCCATTTCTATGTAGCTAAGTAGTTTATTGAATTTGGCTTAAATATTAAAAAAAAAATAAATAGATTATAAATAAAATAGGCCAAACTATTTAGTAAAATAACAACTTTATGGCTTCAAATTTATTTAAAATAAATACAAATTGATTGAAATCTCCACAAAATCAATTCAAAGATTTGTTCAAGTTCAGGATTTTTGTAAAATATACACGCTCATCTCGTTTTCCTTTGTTCAATCGTAATTATTGTCATCCCTTACTTGATTGAATTCGACTCATTTAATGACTATATCAATAGATTGATGAACACCCAAACCATATAAATATAATTAACATATTAATCACAGTTGAACTAAAGTCGGCTAAAGAACACAGGGAACTGTACACATTGTGGAGATGCTAAAATTTGTTTACCATTTCGGTACATAAAAACTATTCCAATAGACCATGCTAATCATTAGAATAGGAATTGGTTTATTTAAGGGCTACTCTGCCTCACCGCCAATACTCCAATTTTGGTTTTAGTTAAAGATCACGTTAAAATAAATACAAGATTTAACCATCGGAAAATTCTTGACTTGACAGAAAGCGAAGTTATAATAGTGTTTCTCAATCATATTTAGGCCTGGGAACACTCCTACAAGGTTGCGCAAGATGCTTACATTTTCTTAATCATTTGCTGAACAGTATCATCGTTAAAATTTCAAATACTTTGTTTTGTCGCACTGCAAGCTCCCTGAGTATTTGCTAAGCAGATATGTTTTACAAATAAATGTATCTCCGCTCAAAGAACTTTACCAACCACTGATTGCACCAGTTAAAGTATTGACATGTCAAACATCTTCACCAACATATTTCAGATTACGCTGCGTTATCTTCAAGAGGATCTTATCTGTTAACAGGCCGTAAGTGACGTAGCAATCTTATATAAAATGGCTGTGGTTTTAGTCAATACGGACGCAGTGCACATTGCACCACAGACCTGTTTATCCTCAAACTAAACATTACTGTAATTTCTCTACTACTGAGTGCAGCTGGGGAGTTCATTTGTAAAAATACCTCTTGACAACATCACGACGATAATTCCTACTAACCATTGGTTGGTATTTTACAGCATTCGAGATATAAATATGCTATTTTTGGACTTCCAGAGTTTCAGGATGAATATTGTAGAATTAAAAAAAAAAAGCCTGTACCGGTACTTTCTGCCGAGCAACACCCCCCCCCTCCCACCCCCCCCAGACTAGATCATTGAAATAAGGCCAAATCCAACCCCCCAATTCACAAAAATTGAAAAATTTTTAAAAAAAAAATTTTTTTTTAAANAAACGAATGACTAGTGCTAATGAAATAAATGTTTACCAAAATGTAAAGAAACCCAACAAAACGAATGACTAGTGCTAATGAAATAAATGTTTACCAAAATGTAAAGAAACCCAACAAAACGAATGACTAGTGCTAATGAAATAAATGTTTACCAAAATGTAAAGAAACCCAACAAAACGAATGACTAGTGCTAATGAAATAAATGTTTACCAAAATGTAAAGAAACCCAACAAAACGAATGACTAGTGCTAATGAAATAAATGTTTACCAAAATGTAAAGAAACCCAACAAAACGAATGACTAGTGCTAATGAAATAAATGTTTACCAAAATGTAAAGAAACCACAAAAAAACAAACAACTTGAATGGATTGCCAAGTATCTTTATTGACTAATATAATTATTTGATGACGTCATGCATCTGTTGATAGGCTAAAATTAAACATGAGATTAAGTCTTATCGCAGTCAAATAAGCTTATGAGATGCTCAAGTTTAAACAAGCAGCCTTAACAGAACTCTGTGGAGGCTTCATTGGATGCATGGGCTGTAAACGGATGTTGGCGCACGAGTGAGAACTTCACTGTCACTTCCTGGCAGACCCCACTGTCACTTATTTGCTGACCACACTGTCACTATCACAAAAATCATCATGTTTGTCGCCAGCGCCGACACTCTGTCACTTTTTATTCAAATTATGCTTCTCATCAATACGGTGGCAGCCATCTTTTCTATCAACACCGTATCACCACTTAAATTGTTTACTGGAAAGGTAGTCTGTAGTATCTCCTACCCCACCTACTTCATTCTGACTAACTCCGTCGAATCCACTTCACCATCTCCACCTACTCTACGGTCGACAGATCCACCTATTAGACTCTCGCCGTCTCCACCAACTCTGTCTTCGCCATCTCCAGAAACTCTGTCTTTGCCCTCTCCACCAGCTCCATGTTTTCCCTCTCCACCAACTCGGTCTTTGCCATCTCCACCAGCTCCATCTTTTCCCTCTCCACCACCACTATCATCGCCATTTGCAGCCCCCTCATTTGGCCCCGAAGCGGCGTCTGCCGCCTTTGCTACTCCGCCTATGACGGCGCCGCCTAACGCAGCCCCACCCGCCCCAATGACAGCATTCGCAGCAAGCCCGATCCCCGCTGCTCCAGCTGACTGAAGGGCGGATACCACGCCCATGCCGAACCTGCAGACAGAAGAAGAAGAAAAAAATATGTTACAATGTTGCAATCTAAACTAAAGGTGGTTGGTTAAAGGTGGTGGCAAATTTTGAGTTAAGGAGGGTGCCCAATTTTGAGTTAAGGAGGGTGGCAAATTTTGAGTTAAAGGTGGTGCCAAAGTTTGAGTTGAAGGTGGTGCCAAAGTTTGAGTTGAAGGTGGTGCCAAAGTTTGAGTTCAAGGTGGTGCCAAAGTTTGAGTTCAAGGTGGTGCCAAAGTTTGAGTTCAAGGTGGTGCTAAAGTTTGTGTTTAAGGTGGTGCCAAAGTTTGAGTTGAAGATGGGGCAAAATGTTTAGTGAAGGTGGGGGCGACATTGTCAGCGAAGGAGGGGTGAAACTTTCGGAATAAGATTTTTATTTATGGGTCGGTGACAAAGCGTTCATTGAGACTGATCAAAAGGTCATACGTATCGGCTGAAAGCCGTCGCTGGGGTAGCGACATGTGAATAGTTGGAGTAAAATTTATTTTAAAAATTTAAAAAAATTAAAAAAAGGTGACCATGTCTCCCCCTTGACCATTCTAATGTTTCAAGTCAGGGGCATTATTATCAGGCATTTGAATGCATGTACCAGGACTATAGCTGGTAGAAGAGTGGGGCAATATAGCTGGTAGAAGAGTGGGGCAATATAGTGGGTAGAAGAGTGGGGCTATATAGCTGGTAGAAGACTGGGGCAATATTGCTGGTACAAGAGTGGGGCAATATAGCTAGTATAAGATTAAGGGGCCACATGGCTGATAGAAGATTAAGGCAGCATTGCTGGTATATGTATTGGGCAACATAGCTGGTAGAATAATTAGGCAAATAGCCGCGGGCACCTCTGGCTAAGAATCCCTGCTGTGAGTTAAGTGAAACTGGCTGGTAAATTCATTATTTTGTAAATTCTTACATCTCCATCTACTTTCTTCTTCCCCGTAAAGTTATAAGGCAATACGACCTTACCCCCAGGTGGCAGCGGTTGACATCATGCTGGCCGCAGCACTGCCTGCCGCTATCCCACCAGCTCCGAAGCCGATACCAGCAACGACCACAGGTGCTGCCACCACGGCTCCGACTGCACCGCCAACAGTTCCAACCACGATGCCACCGATTTTGAGCCCTGTGAATACTTTAGACCTCCATGTACTACCCTGTGCGGGAGGGCTGGTTGACGTTTCTGGACTAGGAGGAACCGGCTTTGATTCTTCCGAGAGTGGTGCATTTTGGGTAGGGCTGGCATTTTCGTTTCGCTCATCACCGGACGTTGGTGTTCGGTTCAACGATGGCGCATGCGCCGACGACCCGGAAAGGTTCGTCTTTAGTTCAGTAAGTGAATTTGGTTCCGAGCTGACGGTTGACCCCGAATCTGATTTGTTGTCAGCGAGGTCTTTTTGATGGAGGGCCGAACCAGCATTGGACACGGAATTATTTTGAAGTTGAAGCTCTTGATCAGCTTCCTCTACGGGTTGACCAGCTTCCTCTACGGGTTGACCAGCTTCCTCTACGGGTTGACCAGATTCCTCTACCGCTTGTCGCTCTGTTGGTTTCCTTTCTTTATTGACCATCTTCGTTTTTTTTGCTCTATGGAAATACAAAGTAAAAAGGTAAAACATTTTTTTTAAAAAAAGATAACGTATGTTATTTCGGTAATTTTAGTACCTAGGTATTTTAATAATTTTGTTTACAAAATTTATAAAATAGCACAATTAATGAGAACCTTGATAGTGAAATATATCTTTTGCCAACCCGAGGGCAGGTGAGACCTGAGTCTGTACTCTAGAAAGTGGTGCCAAGCTTCCCGGGCTGTGTTTTGTTCCAGACGAGTGTGAGCGCCTAGAATCAGAGGAGGGTTGGCGTGAATGTCTAGAATCATAGGAGGGTTGGCGTAAGTGCCTAGAATTATTGGAGATGTTGGACTATGTTAAAGCTTCTACGTAGATCAACCAACAAGACACAAAAAAAAATAAAACAGAAAAGTTTAGCTTTAAGTAAGATAGATGCAAATTCAAGTAGTTTTGGGTGATAAATTATTTAGTACGACAAAAAACACAAATTGAATGAGTTTAAATTAAATCAAGAAACACTACAAGATGAAAGTTAACTATTTCAGAAGTCCCTCAAGACATATTATGCAAAGAGTCACACAAAAGCAATGGAGGAAGTCTGAGGAAACAGTTTCTTAAGACTACATTAGGTTAAATCAGGGGTCGGGGACCTATGGCTCGCGAGCCAGATGTGGCTCTATTGATGGCTGCATCTGGCTCGCAGAAAAATGTTTGATTATAAAGTAAAAAAGTCGCATTAATGGTAAGAAATACTCACTATTGATTAGCAACAGCACAACAATGTTATTAAACAGAATTCAGAGACCTAATTATTGCCTTTTTAGTGTTGAAATTACACAAAATGCACACATTCACTTGAATTTTTAGTTTTAAATATAATGTATGGCTCTCACAGAATTACTTTTCAAAATATGTGGTGTCCATGGTTCTCTCAGACAAAAAGGTTCCCGACCCCTGGGTTAAATAAAGGAGGTTACGTCCAGTATAAAGCAAGTTACTAGTGTGGTCCCATGAACGCACACCACACTTCTTCTGTGTGCAGCGTACGCATCACTGTAATGAAGAAAGATCGCAAATAAAAATGAGCGTGGGAGGGGGAAGGGCGGTGTGTGTGGTGGGGGGGGGGAGGGCAGGGATGAGCAGTTTGAGAAAAAAAACTAGGCTCCATGAAGGGGTCAGAGGTCGGACGCTAGGGCTGCTCGTGAAGGCCTACGTTGGCATCGCTAAATCTGACGCCGTGTGGTTCGGAGTCGGGAGTGTGTTGAACGGAGTCATAGCAAAGCACATCAACACCGTCTGGATAACTCCAACACAACACGCAGTCCATTCTACAAAAGCACGCTTTCAGGGCCGTTCTAAACGGGTACGAGTGTACAGGCTCATAACAACACGAACTCAGCACAAGAACTCCTCATTTCTGCCAAAAGACAGACACTGGAACAAGATTCCAAAAAGCAACAGTTAAGGCGACCTCACTTGACACATTGGCTTCTATCGCCTCAGGCCTTCCAACCCCCAGTTCCTGAGCCTGAAACTCTGGCCGAGTATCCCTGGCAACCAGTGAAGTATCCTCTTCAAGACCAGACACAGAAACATGGCGAATCCCCTCTACATACACAGGAGCCAGAATGATCAATACATTGGATGTGGGCACGCAAAATATAGAAGAAGAAGAGGGCACCATAATCGTCATTTTAAATATGTTTATTGATGTATTATTTTTTGAGGGAGTAGGGCGCCACAATTTAGGCTTTGCACCGGGCGCATACCTGCATCTAAAAATAAAACTAACAATACAGAACAGCGCTGTCAACGCCATGTTACATCCTCTCCACCCCTTCCCCGTGAATATTTTGTTTAAACTGTAAGGAAACCATTTGCCTCATTAGAACNTCAAATTGGTTCTAGCAGAGAAACGGTATGTTTAGCACGCAGATGGACTGGTCCATCTCTGAATCTCTGTTTGTCACAGATTTCATCATTAAACAACACAATAATCCTTTGTACAATTTAATATCGTTCAATAGTGGGGCTGAAAATGTGATGGCATGTATTGTCATGAACAACGAGCCTATGTGCCAAGTTTCAGCTCGATGGGTTGACGGAAGGTGAGTCAGTTAGCCTCCGAAGATTTTTGTCAGCCAGCCACCCATGAGCAAAAGCGAAGTTAATAATAATGATTTAAAAATGGTTGATTATTTGCTGATGTATCTGCGAACCCTAGCTTGGATTCATATTAATGGTTATTAATGTGTAGATATATTTGTCATACCCCAATAAAAAAAAGTTTGTAGAGATTTTCCAGAGAAGTAAACGAAAAAGTATAGTGTATACTCGACCATATTGAAAATATAGCAAATGATTACGTCACATTAGTTCGATGGACTTGTTTTGTTGTTCAA